TTTAAAAGCAAAAAAAAGGCAGGATCATCGTAGGCCAATGAGAAGAGACGCAATTTCAGGATCTTTGTGTTGCAGTTAGTGGCTGCACTGTAGATCTCTTGTGTCGGCTTGTTTCAGAACCAGCCAAAAGTTTACTAAGCTGCTTCAAGCTATTACACACACACACACACATACACATACACACACACACATTTCCCGGCCCTCGTGATTAAAAGGGTGGAGTACTGGAAATATTTCCACTGAGTAATACTTGTACCGTTTGCCTCACTGGGAAGTCCTTCTAAAACAAACGTACATTCCTGGGTATCCAGAAGGTGGCACAGTTTTCTCTCCAGCGGGTGGCTGCATTTTGCATGCATGATGCGACGCCTGCATCAGCAGTTGTAGAGGTGATGCAGCTGAGAAACGTTTCCCCCTCCTCAGCCACGAAGAGGATCTGATGAATGGGTAACTGTTCTGTCGGTAAACTCTGCAGCTGTGGTGTGTCACATAAATGACTCTGTTGTGAAGTCATGTACTCCCAAGTGTCCGCAGTGACCACATTGTTGCCTGCTGTGTCTTTGCCGGGGTCTCGGTTGAGATGATTTCATCCTGGGTGCGCAGACAGCTAAATGTACTGTGTGCAGGACCGGCCGCCGTGATCAGAACAAGCAGATACATGCCATGCCTCCGTTACGTCCGCATGCAGATTTCCATTTCTGCGGATGTTAATAACCACAGCAGATGGAATGCTGTTTGTTTTGGCATCACCTGAAGGTGGTGTGATCTCATTTTCGAGAGCTGATCAGAGGTGTTTATTTTTCATATGGCCAAAAGCAGTAACAGATGATGGGATGGCTGGTGTTGCAGATCGTGCTCAAAAACAAATGTGACCTCCTGTGCTCTGTGTAATTGGATTCCAAAGGATCCACCCAAGATACTACTACAGAGCTCAAGTTAGAGCTCACAGTAAGTCTCATCACCTTAGATAGCAACCCTTGCCCTCTCACGATCTTTTGGGTTAAGTAAGATATTGAACAAACGAGGGTCAAACTCTAGGTGAAGCTGTAGGATAATGAGGTCCAAAGTGTCCCTATAGATTATCTTTGTGTTATGCTATCGCTGCTGCAGTGTAGTTAATATTCTGAAACAACAGATTACTCCGCTTGTACTCTCATAGCAGGTCTCTCAGTAGATCCCTGTTTAGCAGAATTTACAACCACCACAGTTTTGATTTTGTTTTTGGTTGGTATTTGTCGATCTGTTTGTGCGTAGCTGGGAACAGATTTATTCAGTGAGATAATGCTATAAGTGTGACATGACACCTTCCCAAAGCTCAACAGATGTGAGTTTGAGATCCAAATGAATGCCGATGTCAGGTTGACTCAGACATGGAAACAGATTCAGAGCCGGGTCCTCCCACTGTTTTTATTTGATACGAGACACCCATAACATCCCATATATCTGTTACCCTCAGCTGGTGTATAAACATGTGATGTTTTCCATGATAGATGGATTTCATGAGAGGTGTGATCTTATTGGAGGGTTCATTTTAAATCAACTCTAGACCCAAAAAACAAAAAACAGTTTAATTAGTTTCCATCTTTCCATGTTCATATTTGATATAAAAAAATCGGGTTTGGGTTAGAATAAAGAGCTCCAGGGGCTCACAGTCCCTTTCCTCTTTATTCTTCTCACACATATGTCCTAAAATTCTTTATTCTTTATTTTAGTTGATTCTCCTCAAATTAGATATTTTTCATTTCTTTGTGTTGACATTGAAATATACTTTGAGACAGATGTTTTTTTAATGGAGCCCATATAGAGTTGTGTGTTTTGTATTGATTGCATCCGTCCAAAACATTTTTCCCCTTTGTGTAACTGGATTTACATAACATTAAAACAATCCAACATCTTAGTGGAGGTTTCTCTAAAACACAGAAAAACATCATATGGATTTTATTTTTCAGATGTGATCCACTCACCTCTTACCAGTTGGTGTGAGCTGGAGCTACTTTAGCCAGACTGATTCTTCATGAATATTCATAGATGCCATTTCTAAAGGTGTCGAGGGAAAAAAAAAAAGTTAATGTACAAGTTTACTTTTACATGTTTGTGTGACTTTTAACCTTTGATAAAAATATGCTGCTTTATATAATTTCCAAAAGGCAGCATTTTTGTTTATTCTGGGCTTTGGTCACACAGAAACAGCAGCAGCAGCAGCAGCAGCCACCTGGCTGCTGCAATGAGGAGGCGGCTGACACAACAGAGGGGCTGAGAGAGGGAGCAGGAGGGGGTGGAGGAGGGAGGAGGCGGAGGAGGAAAGGGATGGGAGGAGAGCAGGCAGTTGGGAGGCAAACCCCACGCTGTAGCTGTGTTTTTGGGAGGAGAGCTCAGCGGCACCTACACGTCTCCCTCTCCCGTCTCTCTCTCTCTGGTGTCTTGGCTCTCTTTTTTAGCTCTCCGGTCTCGACTAAAAAAAGGATCTAGCCGCTCTTGCTCTCCTGTCGGCTGCTTCTCAGAGCGTTTTCTGGTGCAGCTATACCTGGATTCCAATGGTCATGGTCAAAGAAAAAGGTACAGTGTGGGTGTGTGTGTGTGTTTTTTGCCAGTGTGCTTTAAGGGCATTTGCTTTTCTTTCTTTTTTTTGTGTCATATGCTGTTGACTGTCTGCAGTCGGTGGTTTAGATGTGCAGTATGGACACTGCTTCTGACTTTAATTAGATTTGACTGGACCGAAGACTTTCTAAAAAATCTGATTTGATTGTTTTTAGAGATGTAGTCATGTGTTAACGTGGTCATGGATTTCTTTATGGGAGTGTGTGTGTGTGTTGCTTGAGGAAATCCTGACTGTGACACAGTCAGCTTATGCATTTTGAACACATCTGCATATTCTCTGGGAGTAGCTGACTTCAACATGCTACGCCCTTTAGCTGCTGCCTGGCCAGGAGTCTGCCTGATTTGGCGGTGTCAGGCTTTATGTAAATGTGTACGGGAACAAAGCATCTGGCTTGTCGTGTGGGAGCCCGACACTCACCGGCAGACCTTTGCACTCATCCTGTGCCGGCTTTTGGAGCGAGCGGCCGGCTTCTGGACGAAAGCTGAGCAAACGTTAGCGGGTGGAGAGGTAAAGTGGAGCATGAGTGTGGGGAGGCACACTGCGCAGAACCACGGACCTGCACTCTCTGTCTCTCTCTCTCTCTCTCCCCCTCTCACTCTGTCTGCAGCTGTTGTCATGGCGACCATCTGAAAGGTACACTCCATTGTTGTGAGCTGTGGCCCCATTCATGGTCTCCCCTTAAAAGAAAAAGATGATTGTTTCCGCCCAGAAGAAGGGTCGCCCAGCTGTGCTGGACGAATTAGCCAAAGAGCTGGGGGGGGGGCATCTTTTCGGAGCCTGCAAATTGCTTGGGCATTTACTGGGCCAGGACGTTGACCATTATCAGTATGACTCACAACAAGCAGAAATCCATATACATTTTCTCATTTACATGTAATTGAGAAAGAAGATTTGTTTAGATAAAGTAATGTAACGTATGCTTTATACTACATTTACACAACTGGAATAGAGTATAAAGTCATTCTAATTACTGTTTTGACTCAAACTTACTTAAAGTCCCCCTGTCCAGAAAAACACAATTTGTCTCATATATGGGGTCAGGTCATATTTCCTTGTGTAGTCTAAGACTATTTCTGTCTACTCAAAAAAGTTTACAGATGAATCCCTTTGTAGTTTTGTTTATGTATCCACACTGGTGCCTTTAGGCGATGTCCAGTGCCGGAGCCTTTTTCCTTGATGTGGGTCTGACTAACCACAAAGAAAGCAGGCTGCTGCCACTGCCATCCCTGTGCTGCAACCACTGGCTGCCACATGTTCATCGCCCATAATCATTCTGAAAGTTTTCCATGGCATATGCCTGTTACATCGCCTGGTGACTCTTGAGATTGTTTTTTTTTTAAATCTTTTTTGTGGTGGGGCATGCACTGTCTACAGTCCTCCGGCTGTTTATTTCTCTACACGTGCTACACGCTCGCCACGTGGACGTTTTTGTGACCCAAAGTGTTCCCGGTTTACCCTCCTGGGACCTCATAATGCAACCTGTCTGAGGCCAGGTGGGCTCTGTACCAGCAGAATGCACAGATGACCCAGTTGAGTTGTACTGTATGCACAGAATGATGAATCATAATAGCTGGATTGCAGTGTTAGCATTTGTCTGCTTGCAGGCTGCTGCCCTATTTTCAAAGCCAAGAATACTCTTGAAACTGTTTGTGATGTATTAGGGCCTGTCGCACCTTGAGTACTGAAGTTTTCACGTTCACGTTCCTCTGAGTTTTGTACATGTTTCGTGGCAAAGCGGGACTGTTTAATTAGATTCTTGTCATTTATCTCAACGTTGAGTCGACGCCCTGCTAATCTGACCCCTGACAATAACCGAAACACACTCAATGTTTATTATTCACAATCGGAGCCTGTTCTTTTTTATTTTGACAAGAAAGTCGGATGTGTGGTGCGTTTGTTGGTGCCTCCTGTGCTTTTTCACAGAGTGCTGCAGACAACTGCAGTGGTGCCTCATCTCTGAAGCTCGCCCGCGTCTGCCCCCTGAAAGAGGAGCCGAACCCTCTCGCAGACATCAGTGCATTGCGCTCTCATGGACGCTCGCTGTTTGTGCAGCTGGCACACAGGGGCGGAACACACCGATGCGATAGGTGACCCGTCATGTCAGCGGCCAGACCAACACCCAGCGACATGGGAGTCGCGTGAAAGAAACGCAGGCAGTAGCTTCACAGTGTGCAAACATCCCCTCCGTCCGGCCTCCATCATTTTCATCATCACAGGAAATACAACACAGGAGCGCGGGGCCTTCGCTGCTTTTCTTTCGGGGGGCGAAAAGCCAAGGCCTTCATCAGCGCCGCCTCTGCAAACAATTGCCTCTGTGGTTCATGAAGCCCCCCATTGTGTCCTCTGAGATAAGTTGCTGCTCTGGAAGTCTCTCTCTATTTATCAGGTCATTATTGTTATTATGGCGTACCTGCCAAGAGCTAATGCTCTGCGCTCTGGTGTTCAACCATTGAGCGCAGATCATTATTCAAAGCTCAGGTCTCTGAGGATTAGTTATTTAGGGTTTTTTTTGGGGTGGGGGTGTCTGGTGGAGGCTGATATGGGACGTGCTGGTTGGGTCTGTGGCCCCTCGTTTGAAGTGCTTTGTCTGGGGTGCTGGTTGTGGGGCTGGATTCAGTCATTCATATTCATGGAGGGGAGGGATTAAGAGCTTCTTGTTATGTCTGGGTGATAAACTGTTCCACCGCCCTTCCCCCAGTCACACCCTTGCTCATCCAGTTGCTAATTGGGGTGTCACGGTGGGCCCAATTTTTTTTCAGCCCTTTGATGTTTCTCAAAGTTAAAACTCCCTGTGGGAAATTCACCCCAAAAGTGGTCAGACTCGATTATAGGGATGAGTCTGTGTTTTTGTCTATGAAGTAAATACATTCAAAGGCTACATTTATTGATTTGGAGACCAGGAGTAGAGATGACAATCGCTGTCCTTACCTCTGTGCTGCGTGTTTGTTGATGCCCTGTACAGCCTCCCTCACACATGTGGGCTTCTGGCTGCTCCTGTGACTCCTACTGTACCAGAGCTGATAAATATTTCAGCACTGCATATTGTTTCATTGGGTTCCCCCTTCCATTCCACTGCCTTCCCAGACTTCTCCACGTTTTCGCATTCCTCCGGGTTCATGACAGGAAATGAAGACGACAAAGTGTAAAGCTTCCTCAGCAAATCCTGCACGCTCTGTCAATAGCCACGATCTACTGTTATTTACCAGTGGGGCCGGGGCAAGTGTTCCAGAAAAAGCCGTCCCTCGGGGGGATTCAGCATGGCCTTTCTTACTTCCCTCCTGAGTATCATCTGCACTCTTTATTATTGCCAACGCAGCAAGGCTCAGCTCAAATAGGTTGGGGGTTGGATTGGGCGTGGGGTTGAAAAGAGCAGCCCCCTTTTTCTGCCAGCCTGGCTTTGGGATGCTCTGCTGATATAGCTCCCTCAGTAGCATGGCCGTGTGTGTGTGTGTGTGTGTGTGTGTGTGTGTGCGTGTGTGCGTGAGAGTGAGAGTGTCTGTGTGTGTGTTCATTGTGTGTTTAGGCTCATATCAGTCACTTTATCCTCTGGTGATGAGGCAGGACAGGTCACTCTGTCAGCATAGCCAACACATGCAGGCGGAATGAGGAATGCAAGCAGCAGTTGGAAAAATTGTACAACTAGAGTTCACAGTAAGTCGCTTCCAGTACTAACTTATTTATTCTGTTGTATAATGCACAATCTAGGATACAAACTACTGAAATCTCACTGATAGACTAGACCTAAATTCATGTTATTGAGGCTCCTGAAGTGACTAATTCACTGGACTCGATGGCCCAAGCACCGCCCTTTGAGAAAATTCAACAGTTCCCTTCTTATGTCGATGTTTATGAGATTTATAAAACGGCACAGAGAGTCCCCATCTCTTTATTTTGCGTCTCCGCCTCTTAGCCAAACACTGCACTCAAACTGGAAAAAACACTTCCCATCCAAACCTCAGCTTTTAGAGCCTCTGTATTCGGGATCCAAACATCTGTCTTGGATTTTTGTCAACCTGTTATGACGTTAGCAGTGTTGACTTTTCCATGCTGGGCTGTCCCCTGCTGACACTCAGAAAATGTTAAAAATAGTGAGTCCAGACACAAACAGGGTCAAAAGGGAATTTTTGGCATCTTAACACACCATTTCCACCAGCTCTGATTAAACAGTGGTGTGATGTGAAAGGTGTGAGACACATTTCCCCTTATGAGTTAATATGCTCACAATATTGTCACACATTTAATGTGTCTTAGTGTTAAAAAAAATTTTATTAGTAGCCAGATTTTTGTTCAGCCTCTGTCATCAGGGAGAAAACTTCAGGGCAAGCTGGTGTGTTGTCAGGATTTAAGAACTTGGGCTGGTAAACTACAAGTTAAATGAGATCTAAATTGGGCTATTTTTACCTGTGCATACTATGGGTTCACAGCCAGCTTACCAAACTGGGAAGAAATAAAGTTTTGTTTTGAGATCAAGGCCATGTAGGGAGTTGTATTTTTTTTTAAACTTGGGTTTATAACTGTATTTGCATATCAGAGCTTAAAGCACCAAAACACAAAGTAAAGTACTGACAGTACACCAGTTTCCTGAATGCTGGCAACAGCTCACTGTGCTCACTGTGCTGCTCTCTGTGTCACACAGTTAAAATTGCACACTTAAAAAAGACATGCATGAATAATTACATTAATATCTTTAGAATAACAGTGTTTGTGTTCATCACCAACCGGACTATACCTGTATTTTGAACCAAGGCCTTTAAAATTCAGTTGGTCTAACAGGTCACATTTGCTTTACCAATTTGCATTCCATCTAGAGTCAGGAGTTTTCATGTTTTAGTAATTGGTTTTACATCAACAGCAAAACAGAATCACTCAGGGGTTTCATAAGGGTCAGTTCTTGATCCACCTCTGCTGTTTGAATGGGTCATTGTCCTACCGAGTAATATAGTAAAAAAACATACAATTGTACAGTTATTATATTTTTCATCTAGTTATCTGTCTTCTATTCATGAATTAGGCCTACTTTATGGATGATATTTAAGGCTGGACGCCAGGAAACCTTCCAGAATTGAATGTAGACAAGACTGAGATAGTGGTTAATAGTTAATATAATCAAAAGATCGTCTGTTCACATCTGGGCTTACTGCACTGAGTACATCTCTTACTTGATTATTGCATATATTCAGACTGGTTCTCAGGGTATTTAGTTGTTCCTGGAACGAAACTTAAATTTACCTCCTGATCTGAAATCACAGTCCTTTGAGGAATCATCACTGTTCTCACCGTGCTTTTACTTTACAGCATGTATTGGGTGTCACTGTTTGATTAAAGTCAGGCAAAAATAGCTTGTTTGATATTGCAAAACCTTTTAAGGAAAGTAAATAGGATCTGCACCATAATTACAATGCTTCTTTTTTTGCCAACACTCCAAAGTTCAGTAGAACAGGGCTTTGTAGCTATTGTGTAGTCCTAATGACACGGGTACATAGGAATTTACACCTCAGTTTTGTTCCAATTAGTTTAATAACAGTGTTAATATTTTCAAAAGAGACGATAGCAAAGTAATGAAAAAAAAATCTAATTTTAGAAATGAAGAATTAGGTATTTTCTAGTGTTCAAGTTTGTGCACGAGACTTAAAGTGACTTGTTAGCTTGGGTATTTTTACAGTCACCCAGATGGTCTGTGTTTTTTTTATGGAGGTGCAATGTCACACAGAGATGCTGAGACTTAGTTCACTGTCACAGTAGTGTGGTTCACCCACAGATGACTCATTGTCTTGCTGAGTTTAATCACATCAGATACAGCAAGCGGACAGAATCAACCCTCATAACCCTCTGTACCCTGCATCACCCCCAAATGAATTATCTTCTTCTTCCCCAGTTTTCCATTAACACGCAGCTTCTCTCAGCACCTTTCCCTCCGAATTTATGAAAAGCTGCAACGTCACTTTTATAATTGCGTCTAAATGAATTGTCACTTAACATTTTACCCCCCTGAATGGGAATCTCAGACTGCTGAATTGTCTCATTAAAATGCCGGAGAAGGTAAAATAAGTCTCTTTTTAAATGAGGTTTTACTGCAATCAAACCCTCTCATGACATTAAAAAGGACAGTAAAAGTGGAATGCAAGCAAGGCCAAGTCATCAATAACCCCGAGTAGCGTCTCCCTTTACTAGACCATTGATGAGGCTATTTCTGTGCCTTTACTGGTGTCTTATTTTAGCCTTGCAGACTAATGATTCATTGCAGAGCAGAAGCACCACAGAGCCTTTTTCTGCGTGAGACTATGTGCGCATGTGTGTCTCTTTAAGAAATAGCGAAAGGAATTGAGAGGGTGATAGAAAAAAGCTGCCTTGCCGGTTAAAGCCTCTGCCTGTGAAATAATCTGCTGGTATCACACAGCTGATATGCTGTGTGCAGTGCTGCACTGCAGCAGTAGTTACTTCCCATTCAGTAGAAAGGGATTCATGTCAGTGAATATCAGGGACTACCAAAGTTCCTACTGAGGGGAGCCACAGACAGACATATCATGCATCCAAAGAGCATAGTAGTGCTACTTGTAGAGGTAATGAAAGATGATAACAACCTCTTTATTTAAGATTATGTGTGTTGCAATAAGCTGTGCTATTACAATTAAGACCGGTTAGTTGCATTTGTTGTCAACTACTACTGACTACTGACTTTTAGCGATAGTATCTCTTAAATACTTTAATATAACAAAACACATGGGTAAGTTTGGATTACCGCGGTTACCTCAGGAACAGAACCATGAAACAGAGGATGAGGCGGAACTAACAGTATAAAGTGAAATCAAGGATCCTGGAGGAGACTCCTCTGGAGTCTGAGCTCTGCCTGCTCAGAGATTGCAGCACTTACATGTCTCAACCAGGGCACACTGATAAGGCATTCCAGAGGAGGCCATCAGTCATGACTGAATGGAGTCCATTTTTATAAGTCTGTATGTTTTCTTAAGACATATTTGTGTTAGTCTGCTTTCAACTAGTAACACACACAGAGTTGGTCATTGGGCAAGAAAGGGATTTCTATTTTTCATATATGTCAATCATTTAGTTAAACTTTTTCTGACACACTTGTTGAAGTGAACGTTTATTGGTAAATATAATTTTTCAACAGAATTTACAACATTTACAATATTATTTAAATAGGATGTAACATTTGTATGAGGACGTAAGTGCATTAAGTAAGTGCATGTGACTGCACATTTTCTGCTCTGCCATTTCCCCGTTTCCCTCAGTATTTTAACCGTCTGTCGGCCATTGCTCAAGACAGGCTATATTTAGGTTTTACTCTCTTGAGAGCCTGACTAGTCCTCAGCCCTAAGTTATGCCATCCTGCTGAGTGTTATTCCTATTTTTACCCTGACCAGCTCCTATCAGTTGGTTTTTATCTCAAAAGCTTGACTCTGGAGATTCTGCTCCGTGCCTGACACAAACTCACACGCACGCACGCATAAAAACGCTTTATTACAAGCACTGACTCATCAACACTGCTAACAAATAGTAATGCTTATGTCTCATCTTTTGCAGTGGCTCATGCGCAGGACACACACCACCACTCCACAGAGAAGCCCTTGATTCAGTGCTACAAGTGTGGGGAGCCATGTAAGGGCGAGGTGCTCCGGGTGCAAAACAAGCACTTTCACCTCAAGTGCTTCACCTGCAAAGGTACAGACTGCTGATGAGTGAAAACATTCGTTAAATAACCGCCAATGCGTGTGTTCATTTCAAAGTCTCAGTAAACTCATTACCTTCTGTGCTTAAGAGATGTTTACAGATGAAGGTTTTTTCTCAAGAGGAGAACCAATTCTGGGAGTTGAGCGAAACATTTCCAGCTGATGTGGGACGTTTTTAAACAGAAACAGCAACAAAAACAAAAACAAGGCTGTTTGCTACTTTTCAGTCATCACATGCCAAACCGCACTTGGGTTGTGTGTACAAAAACATAAAGAAGAGACTGATGGCACTAAGAATGCTAATCCACATTACAATTCAGTAAACGAATTTAAGTTCCTGAAGTCAACAGTGTATTTTCCATCCTAATAAGAGGTATAAATGGTGGCATGACTCATCTTTACTCTTTAATTCCGCATGCTTTGTGCCATCCAGGCTTCTAAGACGCATGATGGTGATTATGTTATTAGTGCTGTTACAATGTATACCTGCTGTCGTCACAGTACAGCAGAAGCCTATGGCTGGCTCTGGCCTACCCTGCTGACCTTTTATAGTTAATCTGTGTTTCAACCACTGTTAAAGGTTTGCCTCAGTTCACTAAAAGCCCAGAATAACACAAGCAAACCCTCAGATTAGTAGCTAATTCTGTCCCTTACAAGTTATTTGCGGCTCACAAAAGGAACATGCGGACAATCTTAACAGCCACTGTGAGGGTATTTTATGCAACGGCATAAGTCCAATGAGAAGTGGAGGCAGCTGGACATCACACATGGAGGCCACCACATCCCCGCCGTTTATTTTCTTCTGACTTAGTTAGCTCACAAGATAATCTCATCATCCCTAAGCCCTAATGCAATTAAATCTGATTCTCTTCCTCACCCGCTTCATTCATCCCCGGGATTTAGCGTGGCTCTTTGCATAAGAATTATTGCACACAGTTATCTCAAGCTTTGAAATGTTTTCCCTTCTTAGTTGTGGCATTTCCGAAGGGCTGTTAAATTCCTGGGCTCTCTATGAACTGCACCGGGCGGGCGATAATTGGGCTGTTTTTCATACCACACACATGACCACATGTCTTAAACGGTGCTAAACAGCATGTGATCGGCGTATATGCTGAGGTTTAGACAAAACATGTGGTCTTTGCTTTTGTGCTCGGACTGACGTGGATTTAATAACGGATTGTTCAAATTGGCAGTTTATGTGAACTGTAATCATTTTTCCCAGCATGTGAATCGATATGAGAATATTTTAGGACTTAGTAATAGAGGGAAGGGCAGATGTGAATCTGTAAGGAACTGTTCTATCTAATCATCTTATTTCGCATGATGGGAATGCTCTCTAACCCCACAAACGGGGCTTCCAAAGACCTTTGAGGTCACTCTTCATCTCAAATGATTTCACATCAAGGTGCAGCGAAAGTTTCCTGGAGGCACACAGTGACCCTTTACCTTTCTAAAACAGTGTTTTTGCTTAAACTAGTCACTTCTTGTCTTGTTTCACTAAACACGTTATATAAATGAAAAATATAATAAAAAAATATAATAAAAATATAAATAAAAAATGTTGCCAAAACATTATAAAAATGTTTCATAAGCGCTGTAAAAAAAAGGCATTTTTAATGATGAACCGAGATACTTAAAAAAAAGGTTTGTACTTTACAACATCAGGCCATTTTGGATGCTGTGTTTTTTTCCAACGCCAAGTCCTTGGAATCAAATTCTTAGTCCAATTTCCCAACATCCAACTGTCTGCATTTTTCCCTTTTTGAAAATTGTTCACATTGTGCAGATGACAAGGTCATGTTTGAATAGAAGGAAGCCTGTTGGAGACTCTGTGTCACAGGGTATTTCAAGTGAGTTATCTTCTAGAAAAAGATGAAGGATATTTCTGTGGCAAAACAATGGCAGAATTGTCGCAGCACTGAGTGATAGCCCTCTGAAACCAGAGCCGGCCGTGGCAGTGTTGGTTATCAGACATGAGCCCAAAGGGGAGTGGCATATTAAAGTTAGATGTTTTAGTTTATCATTCAATTTTGTTATTTGTGCAGCTGTCGACAGTGGTGAATGTGACTTCTATCTGACACTTTCCACTGCGGTGCAAGAAACTGTCAAAAATGTATTTTTCAGTAACTTTTTCTCTAGCCAAACTAAATCCATTTAGCGCACTCAGTGAGCCTCTCAGGACCGCAGCGTCTGATCAACGCCACTGATGCATGGAGGGGTCCGCTGGCTTTGTGGGCTTTGTGCAGTCAGAGCCGTAAATGCGAGCAAAATGTGTGTGCTGTACAGTCTGTGGCTGCGACCTCGCGCAGGGGGGCTTCTTCATGAAGAATGGAGAGTATCTGTGCACCCTGGACTACCAACGCATGCACGGCACCCGCTGCAACGGCTGTGGGGATTTTGTGGAGGGAGAAGTGGTCACCGCCCTGGGCAAGACCTACCATCCTGCCTGCTTCGTCTGCACCATCTGCAAGTAAGAGTCCTGCTGCAGGCACGCCCAGCCCATCACACTAGCTAATAAAGTGGGACTGACTGAATTGTGGTCATACCTAAAAATGCCAACAAGAAGAAAAAGTATGTCTAGAAGATACACATACATTTTTTTCTGCAACTCTCAATTATTTGGATTCATTCATTTCGTTCATAATGACCAGAAATGTATTGTGTTTGTGTCTTTGTTTGTCTCATCGCCCTCCAAATAAGTCACAATGGCATTCTACACAAAGTGATTTGCCATGACAAACAAAGTTGAGGGGAGCAGGGATTCCGTTTGGCAGTGTACAGTCGGATGCCGTGTGTCATTTCTGTACATGCTCTGACTGATTAGTTACCCCGGGCGGACCGTGTTGACACACACATTTTCATCACGGGCTTTGTCATCTTCAGCCCCATCAGACGACCTGCAAACCACAACTAATGAACTGTCACATCGGCCGAGGGGGGGGCGGCCGCTCATGCTTTTTGTGCGCTGCTTGTCTTCCAGACGACCGTTCCCTGCCGGGGACAGAGTGACCTTCAACGGGAAGGACTGCCTGTGCCAGTACTGTGTTGAGCCCATGTCTCCAGGACCCAGGGACATCATCGGCTCCAGCAGTAAGTGCTCACTGTCTAAAGAGCGCACGCTTAGAAAGAACAGGAAGACGTTTTCCACACAGTTGGAGTTTTTGTCGTGGATCCGACAGCCCTTACTCCAGAAACTCTTTTTAAGAAGGTGAATCTTGCCGTGCTGCAAAAGCTTTGAGCAATCCCACGTCTTCAAACTATACTCAGCTGGAGACACACACGTCTTTAAATATGTAGGGTATAATATACGATGGTACTGTCTGTATCAAAGAGGTCATGTTACGGTTTTGGGGGTTTCCTTTCCTTCAGTTTTGTATGTAGCTTTTCGTTAGGAGGTAAATAGAGCTCCAATCAAATCTGCATATTTATATAATTCCATGCAAAAGTGACATCTCCCGAACCCTCTAAAATATTTAGTGTGCACCCTTGTTTTTTGGTCCTTTTTGTTTTAACAGTTAATCACCATTTGCTTGATACCCGCTGGTGGTTTGTCAGAAAAAGATAGAGAGCATTCCAATTAAATTCCGAGCTCGCTTATCGGTCCTCGGCTAGACATTTGCTAAAGCAGACCTCCTCATGTGGACATGGACCTCTATCGGCCTGTCGGCCACAAAGTTGGACAGATGACAAAGTGTTAATTTGCTGTGCTGGTGTTTATATAAAAAAAGCCTTGCTGGTCTCTTTTCCCACATCAACCCTGGATGACCCACAGCCGCCCGGTCGTCCCTGAACATTGAGTGATGTCAGTGCACCTTTGAGTGAGATCCTCCAGCACAACCCTCCTTCATGAGCGACACCGAAGCAGGCCTTACTAAATTATGCATTGCCATGCATTTCCTTTCCTCTGGAGCAGGGAATGTGTAGCCCTCAAACCCCCCCTTATCCACCATCTCCCCCCCCCCCCCCCCCTTTATCTCCCTCCCTTCTCTTTCAACCCCCGCTGGTCTCTCTGTCGGCGTTTTTGAAGAGCTTTTAGACAAGGTCATCCATAAATAAGACATACTGATTCTACACACGTCATCACCCCAACCTTGTTATGACTCGTGAAGTTATCATCCCCTGTGTTTGCCGTGCACTGGGATGCTTTCATCCACATTCATTAAAGTGTATAGGACGGGAGGACCGTTCGTTTAGAAAACCAACCTCATGCACTTAAAGAGCCTCGGGATCCTACTTGGATATGGATGGAGCTTTCAGAGCTGAGAAGTGATAGGAAGGGGCAGCTGCCAAGGCACTGCTCTAACCTCCCTTTGTCACCATCTAGCGTCTGAAGTCAGAGCTGAGAAGAAGTCTCACTTTGCACTCGCCATGGTTTATCCCCTAGTGAATAGTGCGAGCTGGATAAAGGTTGTTTTGAAGTATTTTCTGGCGTATATATATATGAATATCTGCATCTGTGCTCCTTTTGCTCTCACAGACTGTGCAGGATGTGGCCGGGACATCAAGAATGGACAGGCCCTCCTTGCTCTGGACAGACAGTGGCATTTGGGCTGCTTTAAGTGTAAAGCTTGTAACAAAGTTCTGACTGGGGAGTACATCAGCAAGTAAGCCGCTTACATCCACGACCATTACAAGCTTCTTGGACAGTTTCCTCCCTGCTCCATGTTTTGCATGCTCTGCTTGATGTCTTATGGCTAAAGTTTGGAAATGTCTCTGGCTCCCCCTCACAGGGATGGCGCCCCCTACTGTGAGAAAGACTATCAGATCCATTTTGGAGTTCAGTGTGAGGCGTGCCACCAGTTCATCACGGGGAAGGTGTTGGAGGTATGACAGGCACACGCACGGTAGCTGCTTTTCACCAACTGGCAGCGTAGAATGCAAAAGGCCATCTTAAAGGCTTAATTTAGAAAATTATTAATCTATGTCAATAGTGAATTTCATGTGAACGAGCTGACAATGAGCCCGAAGTAACCCTGAAACATTTTTTGAGACCAGACACTTAACGGTTTGCAGTAATCGCAAGAAATACATTCTAAATTAATGTTTGCGCACAACGGATTTGGAAATTTATGTCACATGGGGGTCAGAAGAGGCTAATTTTGACACTTGGCTGCAGCAGTTGAACAAACACAGGATATGTCAGTCCGCATAATTGTGAAATGTTCTTTGGTAATCTCTGCTGTAATCTTTTCAGCTCCAAGCCAAATCGACTCTTGACATGATGGCATCAAACACGAAGATTAATTCTTATCTTAGACTTTCCTTCTTCGCCTAAATATGCTATAACACAAGCTTACATTACCAGAAATTACATTAATATTACATAAATCCCTCAACTGGATGTGACATTTAGGTTGTGTTCATTAATCATTAATCTGCTCAGCGTGTCATGCAACTATTATGAAACTGTGTTTAAGCTTTATTAACATTGTGTGTGTTGTTTTTTTTATTTGGTAAAACGTTACCAAAACTTAAGCTCCATGAAGTTCAGTCTCTCTTCAGTCCCACCGGCTCGTGCGTCCGTCTCTCTGACAGACAGTGATCCAATCAGACACATGGTTATGTGTCATTTAATGATTTGAAAATGTCAGTGCCAGCCAGGCAGACAGGCTTACAGTAATCCAGCACTAATACAGGTCTTTATGACAAAAGGAAAAGGATGCTGCATCTCACCGCAGAGCTGCTGCCAACGGATCAGCGGGGCCAAAGGCATACCAGTCCCTCTGATAGTAATCACTGACCCAAGACCCCAATGAAATGCTGTCTGGTACTGTGGTCAGGGCAGCATGAATGGTCCGTTAATGAAGGGAAGATTAGGGCAGCTGTTGCAGAAGGAACTAACAGGAAAGGCAAAATATCTTTATTATTGCTGAAGGGGAAATTCAGGTTGGATGAGTGTTAGGTTAGAGATGCAATAAACTGCCAAGAATACTCTTGTTCTGTCATCTTTTTTTGATGCAGTGAAATGCAGAATGCAAATATGAGGCAGTGGCTTCATATCTCTGCGGGGCCACTTGCATGTTAAAACGTTATTGAGGGTTGTTATTCAGAGGGCTGTAGGTATTTGATTTGGGTATTTATCACTGTCTGTCAATCCTCCACGGCACATAATAGAGCACTCTGCATGCAAAGCACCCCGTCAGCGTAAATGGACATTTATGCTCTCCAGCCATCAGATCATTTTATTGGAATACATTACTCAGATAATCGCAAAGCGAAACAGTTTATAGATATTTGAAGGCAGGTTGACTGTGTCAAATAGGCCTGTGTCAACATGGTCACATCCCGAATGAACTTTTTGTACAGCCAGTTCCGGAACACTTAAAGAGAAGTCACAGTTCAGCACGTTCTCACAGATCCTCACTTAATCCCCAGAGAACCTCTGGGTAAGTGTTTTTTTCAGCAGCACATCTCCACACACTGCCGGCCGTTGTCATGTACAATCATTCTTCAAAGGGAGGAAGAGCCATTGCGAGTTCACCTGGTGAAACTTTCACTTGCAACCAACAGGGCTTTAGAGGAGGAGAGATACATAGCAGAGAGCAGGTGGAGCACCCGCTTTATTGCCTTGGAGTTCTGTCTACGCGTTCCCTCAACTTGCTCTGCTACAGGCGTCATTGATCTTCGTTTTCCTGGGATGTCAAGTTTGCTTTGTGCTCTGGGTTTTCCAGGCAGGAGATAAGCACTACCACCCCAGCTGTGCCAGATGCAGCAGGTGTAATCAGATGTTCACAGAGGGAGAAGAGATGTACCTCCAAGGTGGGTGGACCAGCATTTACTTCTCAGTCTGTTGGGTTATTATTTCCTGTCTCCTAGCCAAATAAGATTGTTGTTGTTCAGTTTGAAAAGGGGTTTAATGAAACGAACCTGTGAATATTGTGTCTATAAGTAGTCTATATATGTCATTCAAAAATTATATAAAACCAGATTTGATTTCACTGTAACTTTAACATGAATGTCAATTTTATTTTTCTAAAGACTGCTGAAATGTTGTGTAAAAATCCAAATCTCTTTCGCGTCAGAGTCTAAAGCATGAGTTTCATGAGACTCCTAGTATCAAACATATTAATATTCCCCTGAACACTGAAACGTCATTCATCATGTTTGTCTGAAAAGTCAGAATGTGACTTATTGGTCTACCAGGATTAAAAAACTTATTGTATTTTCTCCTCAGGGTCAACAGTATGGCACCCGGGCTGCAAGAACACCACAAGAACAGAGGAGAAACACAGGGAGCGGGTAGGAAAACGGGCACCACTGGCATCTTCATCGTTTTCTGCCCATGACATCATTTTACAGGAAACGATAGAAATGTAGATACTTGACAAAGAGCTCCACATAAGCGCTTATCACTTCCTCCTTGCTGGACAGTTAAAACTTAACCTTATGTGGTTTAAATAATTTACCTGCTGAGGCCATGTATGCTTTGCGTGTGTGTGTGTGTGTGTGTGTGTAACTATTTGTTCATATTTACATGTGGGCAGTTTCAGCTTGATATGTGTGTGTGTGTGAGTCAAGCAGGAGAGAGCACAACCCCTGTGTGATGTCCTGTGAACCCCCCTCTCCCTTCCTCCACAGCTTTTGCCTCCGTCCCTCTTATTCCTCCAAAAAACAGAAAGGCAGGTACTGTATTCGCTATTGGCTATGAGATGGCATCATCCTGTGTTCCACCATGTATTTAGGACACGATATACTTTAATGCTGCCACCTGCTGGAGACAGCCTGCAGCTCCCTCTCTGTGTGTCATACAGAGTCATTCAGTCCCGTTGTTTACACTCCGCGCCGATTAGCTGCACTCATTAATTTTGTGCATGAGACCAAGATGCACACAATTTTAGAAGAGCAGACGAGATAAGGCAGATGACTTTTTTTTTTCTTTTCTCTTAAAATCACCATTTACCCTTTAGGTGAAACGCTCATCGAAACGCGCCACACTCAGACCTGCTGCTGCCATTCAGTGTTCATTTCCCATAAACAGGCATCGGGTTCTTTAAAGCATCAAATCACAGCACTAAAGCACCCATTCACTTTGCACATTTGCAAATGAATGACCTAATCACGAAATGACATTTCTGTTCCTCAAAACACTTAATGTATTCAATGTAATGTAAATGAAGGGGCTCCTTCTCATCATTCATGCCAATTATAAAAGTCAAATGGTGTACTTTTACTAGGTTTTTGGGGGTACTCATCTCTATGGAAATGACATCCCACCGTGGATCATGATAACCTGGCTGTGCGACACATGTTCTCTGACTAACAGCACCTATTGTCTTTGACTCTCACAGCCCACGAGGTCGTCGTCTGAGAGTATTTGTTCCAGACCTGGTTCAAGCATACCTGGCTCACCGGGTCACACGATCTATGTAAGAAATGTCACTGAGCTACTGCATCTGTCTATACACAAAGAACTCGTAGGTGTAGATCTGAGAAGTTGGCAATTTTTCAAAAATGCAACACAAAAAAACTGGAAAAAAAATCTGTCATTATGATGCCTGCAACACACTAAAAATAAGGGTGGGAATGAGGCAAAGAATGTTAGAAAAGTTGTAGTCATTTTTATAAAATGATGCGTGTTATTTTAATTGGAGTCTAAATGCAAACATGTGGAGCCATCAACAACACGCTGTTGCTAAATGGCAAAGATTTGTATTTTCAGCTCCAGATAAATGACAGTGTCCATTTTAAAGACATGGAGATGTAACAAAAGGGGAACATGCTCATATTCCAACTTGCTTTAGTGTATTGCTGACATAAAACTTCATATTTGGATTAAATTTTCAACAAAGCTGATCGGTGATCACACTACAAACCATTTATTTGGACTTCTGCCTGTTCAGTGAAGGCTCATATGAGTCCAGAAAATGACCTAACTTCTTTGAAAATTGAGTCAATAGGATTTTTCTGTTCTTTACTCAGATGTGACCTTTTTTTCATTTTTTTTGTTTGCAAAACCCATACTTGACAGCTAATTATGCTCCATAATAGAATGTTCAATAGCAGTAATCCCACATTTCCTTTGTGTGTGTTTGTGTGTATGTACTTGTCTTTATTTGTCTTCCTAGGCAAAAGTAGACAATGAGATCCTTGATTACAGAGACCTAGCTGCCATTCCAAAAGTCAAAGCCATTTATGACATTGAGCGCCCTGATCTTATTACCTATGAACCCATGTACACAACCTCCATGGATGAGAGAGAGGAGAGGCAAGAGAGTGTGGGAGAGGTAATCACACAGAATGCATGCTTCTTGCATGCATATGATATTTGGGCATAGAGCATGAGGATAAACTCTGTGTTATTACCTGGAATGGCTATTTTTTTCTGTACTCCACTGATCCTTTGTACCCATCACAGCTCCACACTGCCAGGAGAGAACGTTCCCCCTTGCCTGATGACAAGGTAAGATGTGCCTTCATTGTGTGAGCTGATCAAGATTATTCATTTTAAGTACTAAATGAATGCAAGGTTTATGAGCTGCATTTAAAGACTGTAAGCTTTTTTATTTTTTCTTAACGATTCACACTTGTTTGATTTTTTTTCTTTTCTAGTCCCTAAGGAATATGTCACCAACCCCATCTGGAGAGGTGAGTAGTCTGTGAAGATGCAGCGTTCCCTTTGTAATGTATCGCTTTCTCAGTCAAGCAATCTCAATCTGCGTGTGCCTTTCAGGGTTCTTACGACATGAGGGAACGCATTCTCCAAAGGTCCACCAGTCAGGGATCCATTGGATCACCTGTATATAGTCGCCATGGTTACACCCCCACCATGTCACGCTCCCCGCAGCATTTTCACAGGCCAGGTGGGTACTGGCGTGTGCAGACGTGTGTCTGCGTGTGCGAGCCGGGATGCAGTCCTATAAAATGACCGATCCCAGGTTTATTTCATTCAGTGAGTAATAGCGAGAGCACTAAATGAGTTTGCTGATGATTTCTTCCTACGCAATATAAAGTCTCTCTTTTTAATCGATTTGTCAATTTAGCTGAGCGGACTTGTTTAAAAAAATGTTTTAAACAATTCCACTTATATATATATTGATTTTACAGCTCTAAATACTGTTTTTCAGTTAAAAATGGATTCCCGTTTAATGTGTTATGCTCTACGTTTTTTGTAGTTTGCCTTGAGAACACCTAACCCCACACTTAGTTTTTTTATTTTATTTCTTATTTTCAACGTTTGACTCCTGTATATCTTCCTTTTCTTTTGCCCTTTCACTGTCTCACCCTTTACCTACTCCCTGTATTGTGCACTTTTGCTGCCGGGTTCTGGGGTTTTTCCCCCCGCCCCGCGCCTCCCTGCCTGCAGAGGCTCTGACAGGCATGCAGAAGCTCTGCTCCTCCCTGTGCAGTAACAGTATGGGCTCCAGAAATAGTGACTCCCGCCCCACATCCCCTTTCAGACACCACTTCCTCCCCCATAGTCAAGGTAAGGGCCCCACTCCACTCTTATCTGCCCCCCACCGTGAAGCGGCACATCTCCTTCACTCTCCATATCAGACGTCACCTCACGCCAGTGCATCGTTCGCCCCTATGCATCCATTTGCCATTTCTCACAGGAGTGTAACCCTCAAACATGCTGTATGTCTTGGTCATCCAGTAGAGCCACCACTTCTTCACTAACATGTGCCTCCTCAACTTTGACTAACAGCCTATCCATAAGTCAGCCATTTTGTGTTTGCATTTGTGTTTGTGTTTGCTGCTTTGCATGTGTTTACAGAAATCAGCCATCAAAATCTAACTACCAAATGAATGATTTCTTAGTGCTGCATTGCAAACTGAAAGACTAAGGGTTAAAAGTGAAGCTTTGTTTGGAATGTTTGCTGTTTGAGGTGGAGAGAATTAACTTCTTAGTCTTAACCTTATCAAACTAACAGCTCACACATGACAAGTGATCATACATTTCCCAAAAGGAAGTTAATCTCTGCTCATGAAGCTCTGCTGGTTTGATCTGCTTCTGTTCAACCCGAATACATGCATTATTCAGAGCCAACCAGAGTGTGCCCCAGTCGTTCAGCGTTACCGGGGTGTGACGCAGCGCTCAGACTGTGGTTTCCCTTTAGTCTCCCTGCTTATGCTCTGTTCTTGGTTCTTCTCACTGGAGGCACCGACCCACCGAGTGGCCGGAGCTCCCCGCTCCCACTCAGGCCCGACAGCCGGCCGGTCACCCCGCCTCTCTCTCTGACCCCTAAACATTTCCACCTCCCAGGTAGGAGCTGGAGCGCATCCTGTCACTACTCAACTGTCTTTCTGTTTCTGTTTCTTTCTTCTTTTCAGTTTCCATGCAGGATCAGTTTTGCTTTAACACCTCATCCTTTAAACTACAAAAAAAACTAGAAAATAACTACAGAAAACAATATAAACTCACTGTGTCATGACATGCCATGGTGTGTTTTCAAAGGTTTTACCAGATTAGTTTTTTTGCTGTATAGAGCCAGCGTTTACTCTGTAAATATTTCATGTATTTGATTGCTTTCAGATCAGGGGAGCAACATCTACAGAAAACCACCCATCTACAAACTGCACGGTACTTTTCCTCTTGTATATTTGAATAAATAAGGACATGATAGAAATCCCAAAAGAAATGGATAAAGGTTTGAACTATTACATCAGACCAATAGGACTGCCGACCAAAAAAAAAAAGGCCTGGTTATTTTGTTACTGAACTCAGCTGACTGTGTGTGTTCATCTCACCATAGTCACTCCCAGCGTCGGTTTACTGTTTGAAGTCTGTCTCCAATTCTTTTCTGTCTCACCTTTAGTCTCCTTGTACGCTGCACTTTGTCCGTCTTAACAAGTCACAGCAGTAATTTTCCACTTGATTTTGTCACTTTGACACCTGATTAGTCGTCTGGTGAGCTCTATAGTGCGTTTCAAGTTTGGCTTGGAGTTCTCAAAAAGTGCATTTCATCAACATCCAATCTGTTAGGGAAAGAGTCTTGCGTGGCCTGGATGCTGATTAGCTTGACCTTGTTTCAAATCAACTGTTATTTCCATGGCCAGGTGTAATCTGCCTGCTGAAAAATGTCATTAGGATCTTTCCCACTGGCTGGTTTCATTTTAGAATACAGAGAAGGCCCTGCCTCTGTACAGTGACTTGTTAGGAGAGACATCCTTGCATTCTGGACTGATGACCCAGGATTAAACAAAGAAATCATTGAGCCTGTCAGTCTGATGGTGCTAAGGTGTTTTCCTGTGGCTGAGACTGTGACCCAGACACTGATAGTTCAGTTCCCATGGTTACCAACCTAGATACAGCTGCCATAGTGCATCAAAGCAAGTCTGCTGATGAGATCATCAGGTCTGCCACCTTCCCCGCTGCCCATGCTCCCTCTCCGGATGACAGCCCGCGGAGTGAGGGTGACTGTTGGCCCCACTCTCTCGCTGTTTTAGGTACAGTAGGCTCCCGATGGGCATGTCTGCGCCGCTGCCTCCCGGTGGTACAACGCACACCTCACCGCAACCTAATTCCCTTGACTTCTTTCCCTCTCGCTGCCCCACCAGCTGAATTGCATCCCCGCTTGTCGCCGGGCTGGCGCTGTTATTCAGGCATCAGCGTGTTTACCTTTTTTTCCCGTTTTGCTTTTGCACCGAGCGGAGAGTAAAGAGTGTCATTTGGTTTGTGTTGCTGCCACATTATTTTCTGCTTCAGGTAGCGTCAGCGTCACTATTTTACGTTCCCTTCCTGCACACTGAGGGCGCTCTAGCTACGTGCCAAACTGCCACAAATGACTTGGACAGAGATAACTGAGACTGACTTCAAACTTTTGTCCGTCTGTCTTACATTGTGCCGCTCTGTGTATTTGACATCCCCTAAAATCTTGACATGGACGATGATGTGTGAGCATCTGCCATGTCTGTGTGGCCAAATATTCCAAAAAGCCCCTCTGTTTGTCTGTCTCGTCAACTCTGTCTCACATTTGTGTTCAACTATCCCCATATGACTCATTGACATTGTGTATTTCTGGCTGCTGTGCAGTCCCACCTACTCTGTTGTGTTTTCACCTAGTTGGATAATACAGTACGTGTGAAGCATGTGTTTGTGTTTAAGGAACATGGCTGCATGTGCTTTTGTAACTTTTTTTGGCCTGTGCCTGGCAGGTTCAGAAGGGAGGAGGCGATCTAGAGAAGAAGAGGAGGAGGAAGCTTTAAAAAGAAAGCAACTCCAGGAGGAACATCTCAGTAAAGTTAGTCATGTTTTCCATGCCCTCTCTGTGAATACAGTTTATTCTACATTGCAGCCAAAGATGAAAAAAATGGATTTTTCAAAAACATTTAAAATAATTTCTGCGATATTTCAGCATGAACATTTCAAATGACTTGAAAATGATCTCAATGTGTCCAGATTCAATCAGGTTTGGGGAAGCTCATTTTGAAGGAGGAGATGGAAAAAGATCAAATCAGGGAGCGACATGCACGCAGCCTCTCCGCCCAGCGCTATGATCCCAAACAGGGCAACTGTGACGCAGGTACACCACTGTTTCATCAAGCTCGGGCTGACAACTGTGTACTTTAAAGGAGACATTTTCTGCCCTTTTCTCCCCAAGTTGGCACAATATCCTGTGGCCTGAATAAAAAGTTTGTGCCACAGCCCCCACAGTCCAAACCAGACTTTAGCTCTTTTCATAGCATCTAGTTTCAGAGTCTAACCCTGTCATCGGTGAATGTTTCAAGCGACCATACAAATTTAAATATGATACTTTCTGATTGGTCGGGTAAAGCTAAAGGCTACTCAGAGGGGAACTAGCAACATTACCTAAACAAATTCAGTCTCAAAGTAGCTTTAAACCATGTTTTTTTCCAGATATTTACACAGCATCCCTTCTGCAGCTTACAGTTCATAAAGCATGACATGAATTACTGAAATATCCACTCTGTGTAACTATCTGATGTAGAGTAATCTCTGAGTAATGTCAACAGCATATTGTTGGGTTGACCTGCTGTGTAAGTTTTTTTTCTGTGTAAGTCATAGTCAGTTCTGGATTGGTTTTAGGTTGAGCTTACCTATCTTAAAGGTTTCCAAACTTCTAAACCAAAAATTATTAAACAAAGACACACAAAAAAACACATTATATCCCATTAACTTACTTAACTATAAAACTTTTCAAGTGAATTTGTTGTGATGAACAAAGCAAAAATCTGTAAACACTTTCTCAGGTGCACCAAATACATCCCAATTTAAAATTAAAGTCTAGACAAAAATGCATTTATTGCGTACACATATATTTACGGCTTTAATATAAAAGCTGCAGCTTTAAGTAAAGATTTCTGAGATATAAAATCCATTCGAACTTAATTGATTTTTGTTTCAGATCCAACCTCTCCCACTAAGACTAACTCTCTGCCTGGCTATGGACGGAATGGTCTGCATCGGGTGAGTTTTCTTACCCTTGAAATACCTCACAAAAAGAAACCCTCATCAGTTTAATAGCTGAGAATCCTAAATGCAGTAGTGTCAATGTCAGCTGCTCTAACTGTACACGTTTTATAGACTATTGATGAAAACTATTTTTGTCTCTGAATAGCAAAAAATGGTCCACATGTGTTGTTGTCTCTGTTTCTGCAGCCTCAGTCAACAGATTTCACGCAGTACAACAGCTATGGGGACATGTGCGGGGGAGGCAGAGGTGAGCGCTGCCACCAAAAATGTGACCTCCAGACAAATCTCTTATCAGTTTCACCTGAGCTATTCAGCCTCAGTACTCAGAAGTCGGCTTGTTATTTGTACATAATCAGACAGGCACTTTGAAACCTATGATTTTCGTCAGGGACAGCAATGTTGTAGATGGTAGCCTGGCAGGGGGACTCTACAGCAAAACCATTAACTGTGAGTCTCATTTTCTGTCCCATTTTGTCCTGCAGAGTTTCAGGTATGTCTCTCATCTGCTTTTTCACATGGCATGCCTCCTCATCTTGCATCATGTATTTGCTTGCTCATGGGTTGCAAGAGACACCTTGCCCTGAATGCACACCCGCCCACTCCCGCTACATGCTTGCATCACTGTTCGATTATAAATCAGCTACAGGGCATGTGGTGCTGTGATTTCGAACAAATTCAAGAAGTAAACAACCATAGCCCTGTAGCTGAGCCATTGTACGATAAATGCGATGTACAATCACTGCCTCATGTCTTGTTCTGTGTGTTGTTTATCAATGTGATTACTCGAGCTATATTTAAACATATGACTTTATTTCAAATCTATCACAAAAGATAAAAAAAATAATTCTGCAGATACTTTTAGAAAACATGGAAATGGTTGCCATTCTTTAAGATCCTGTACTGTTACCAAGCCACATGCTCCATTCAGTGAAAGCAGGGCATATTCATGCCATTCTCCCTGCAGTCCCCGTCCACTATATTACATTTGTGTATGTTCTATTCTTTAGCACATTAAGGATGGCCGTGCGGCACTTGCAAGGATGGACAGGGGAGTATCTATGCCTAATATGTTGGAACCAAAAGCAAGTATCTTCTTCTCTTTGTACCAATAACCTAGTAATCTACACTGAGATATGTTTTAGGATGAATATATTGTCTTCTTAGTTTGCTTGAGGCCAAAATAAGAGGGGAGAAATTAGATCAACAGTCAGAGGAAATATTTACCTGAGAACAACTTTCTTATGGAAATAAAAGAGTTGTGTTCACAAGAGTCCTGATTCAGCATGCTGCTTTAGGAGCTGCCCAGTCACTTTAGTGCTCAGCATGCTGGCTTCTCCATGCTCATCTGCGCATAGCTTTAACTCAAAGTGGCTGGATACTGTATGCAGCATACAGTGGAAAATCCAATGCCCAAATTGTTCATTCAAACAACTCATATCACTATATACTGCCTAGTATATAAAGGGCTAAACACACTCTGTATTGATATGAGTTGGTCAGAGAATATTTAGGTGTTTATTTTTCAGCATCTCAGGTGAGGTCAGAATCGGTCAGTTTCTGCTGGCAAAGATGAAGTTAGTGATTTTGAAAACTACAAGTAATTGAGACTTCCAGAGCAATTATTCCCAATTCATTTGGCCTACATTGCTGGTGTTGATTTTTTCCCACTTCCCTTTTTTTTTGCATTAAATTATTCTAAACGTACAAGCTGTCACTTTACTGTGTTTCCCCGACCTGATCTGTGTTGCACGTTTGAACACCAAATAAATGTTTTTTTAAAAACTAAAAGAGAGAGAAAAAAAACAATAGACTCACAATAGCTCCTGCATATTCCCGACATCCTTCAAAAACAATCCAGTCAGCCTCCTGTCACATACCTGTTCTCCCACCGAGTGCTCCCTTTCTCACAGTCTGAATGACCAAATTATCCAAATCCAATAGTTTTTTTTCTAGTAATCCTGCCCTGAGAGTTTTCGAGGCTGAACTCAAGCTTGAAAGTTTGACCTGTTCACTGACAGATGTGTTCTTCTGAAGGTGTATCCCTATGAAATGCTCATGATAACCAGTAGAGGAAGAGCTAAACTGCCCAGGGATGTGGACAGAACCAGACTGGAGGTATCAGTTTTCCGCTTGACCTAGCGCAATTAATACTGCCTTTTTTGACTTTGTGTAAAAGGCATGTTACACAAATACAACTGTGGCAGGGAATGAGCAGTATCCATTGCTTCTTGTCATTTTTGTCAGTGACCCTTTTTTACTGCTTTGGTGCTAACTAAGACCACCCCCCACCCCTCCCCTCCTTTGTTTTCTCCACCTTTGTTCTCCATTCTAGCGTCACTTAGCACCTGAAACGTTCTTTGACATCTTTGGAATGGAGATCCAGGAGTTTGACAGGCTTCCCCTGTGGAAACGCAACGACATGAAAAAGAAGGCCAAGCTCTTCTAGCTCTCAGAGCAGCATGCATTATTCTGTACATTCATTTAGATAGCACACAACAACTGTAATCTAGACGTAGGTTCTGGTTTATTTCCTTTTCTTCTGTTTTTTGGTTTGTTTTGTTCTGACATAACTGAGAAAAGCCATGAAATGGACTGTTTGCTCTGACACTTTCTGAAATGATGACATGAACCATTTGTCCAGTGATACTCACATGGCCAACAATGAACGGAAGTTTTTTCCATGGTCAAAAATGACAAAGAATAAGAATGGATGATGAGAAGGGTCAAGTTTCTTTGGTTAGACTGCGCTTGTTTTACCCCATGCTTTGCTTTGAGTGGAACCGCTTCTCTTACTTTCTTGCTCGTTTCTTCCTACTATTTGTTGCTGTTGATTCCTGTGGAACTCTGTAATTACATTAGAAACTCATGGCGCCATTACAAAGAGCCCATGCTTGTAGCTTGAATGTGTGTCAGCTTTGCTTGGGCTGAAACTGTTTCTGCCCAAAGTTTGCAAGAATTGACTCAGTGAGTCTTTGAGTTAAACAAAAAAAAAAAAGCGGTCAGCTAGCCCAACAGCTCTTTTACTGGATCCACACAGAAATGAATCATCCAAGCACTGACTTATCACCTGTCTCCTTCCCATGGCTTTCATGCACACAACTCTTTCATCTGAGCAGACAAAAAGATGTCTTCTCTTCTCAGGCTCTCATGAACACGGTTAGACCCTTTACATATATTGGAAGTACAAATGCTAATATATTTTAATGCCGTATCTGACCTAAAGTAACTGACAAATAGATGAAACCCCTAATGTAAGAGACAACTGTATTTGAAAGTATTGTTTTATAAATGAAAACCCACACTGCCATTTGTTGTATTGAAATCTAAGCCAATAAAGCTTTAAATCACCATGAACCATGATGACCCCCTGCTATACCAAAGCTACCCACTGCCTCTTTTCTGCTCATTGTTTTCTGTTTTTGCATGTTTCCAATACACCTGCCAGTTCAGGGAAGTGAAATGGGGTGGGTAGTAATCTAAGGTCCTTTTTGGCATTTTAACTGGGTTGTGTGAGGTACTTCAGGAGTAGTTATTGTCTTACCTGCAGTTTACAGCGGTCAGAGCCGAGATTTTGGACAATCGGAGGCCTTATTTGAATAACCTTGTGCAAAAGCCATAAGAAACAAAGACAGGCATCATCAGAAGAATTAGCAAAATGCAAATAAAAAACAGAACACTCTGATTTGTTCATCATTGGTAAGAGGCTTTCAACTCAGACGTATTTCAGACAATTCATGTGATGTTAACCTTTATGCGGAACATATTCAAACAGTAGGATAAGAAACTGCATTTACACTGCCAGGTCAAATATTTTGTTAATTAATTTACTTTGGTTGTGGCACACATTCTCCATGGCATTATGTGGATAGGCTGTGAAATTATTGTTTTATAAATGAAAACCCACTATATCAATGATGTCGAGTTAGTCTGATGTGTAACTTCGTCACCGGATCGTAATGTTTAAAATATTTCATTCTGAATTGTGACGAGAATGTCTCAAGCCCCCTGTAACACCGTTTCACAATTTCAACCCACTGAATCTCGGAAGTTTATCGTGTCATCAGGGAATTTAAAAAAAAAGATCCTGAACATGCTCATTTTCAAATATTATTTCAGTCAATCTATCAAACTGAGAAACCCTTGTTTGCTAAACTTTTGCTTTCCTTTCTAACCCTAACCCTTTTCTATTAAAAAAAGAAAAAAAAAAAAAGCTCTATGATTTGTTTTCTGTGATTTTCTTTCCCGCTCCATATTTCTGACCACCATCCAGCTGATCTGTTTTGCCTTCCTCCCGAACTAACTTACTATTCAGCCAACCCACAACCACTTTCCTTTTTCCCTCAGTCTAATTCTGACTATTTTTCCATGGCTCATTTCCAGATTTTTAAAAAGGCTTTTTAGACCTGTTGTATTTATTATTTGTGGCCTGTTTGGCGGATTTTATGTTTTTGTATGACCTTTTGAAGCCTGTTGGTTGTTTTTGTGTTTGGAATATGCAATTTTTTACATTTGAAGCATAACTCCATCCACAAAGATGCTGTACAGCAGGCTGGCAGAAAAAAATATCTTTCCTCACATACTCAGAAGGATTCTGAGTATAAAAAAACACATTCCTGCATGACAGCAGTAATCACATAAATGGATGCAGTTGGGACATTGGAACCTCTTGTGGGAGCAAAGCTATGAGGCAAATGGAAGAGAAATGGAACAAATAAAAAGTCCACAACTAAATCAAAAGTATTTTTCATACCCCAACCAAACACACTGATATGATGTCAAAGCTTCTCACCTGAGCACTGATGTTTTACCAAAAGACTCTGCATCATGATACTAAACTGTAAGTTGATAATCCCCATGATAGCCTAACTTTGAAATAGATGTTTTTTTTAAAGATACATATATGTGACATTATTAAAACTAAGCACATATGAGTCATCACTAAGACAGTTAATACAGAACACCCTAATGTGTGGTAAAAATGTGCGTGTCAGAAAGATTCACCAGCCCTGCATGCACTCCTATGAATTGCAGGCTTAATTGGTAATAATGCCTTCACCTCAAAGAGAAAGGCAGAAGGTTCAAATCTCAGTGTGCATCTCTCCATGCATGCAGATTGCACAGCTTCCTCGGACTGTTCATGCAACTGGTGGGCAGTGAGCATGAGCGGCTGTTTTGTCTCTGTTTTTGTCTTGTGGCGTAATGGTTGTTTATGTCAAAGATATGCCCCGGCCCTTACCTCCTGGCAGAAACAGTGGAAAACTTGAATTGCACTTGCATCTTACAACATGGACATTGTCCGACTTGTACAGTATGTCTGAGTTAAAGCACATGTGTGCGGGCCTTGTTCAGTCAAAGGAGTCACAGCTCTGGAAGGAGACAGCACTGATCAACACAAACTCATGAAGAAGACAGAGGCTTTCAGGCCACTTGGACTAGATCTATTTTTTTAATGCAAAAAAACAAACAAACAAGGTTTAGGGACGTAATTCAATACTGTTATTCAAAGAAGAACAATACTTTCAGGTTACTTGACTCACAAAGGTAGGTGACAAAAAAATAAAAGTAAATTATCTGCATTCTTTTATTCTACATAAAATACCTTTATTATTAACAAGGGGCTCATTTCAACTCATGCCTTTTGGATATACTGTTGTGTAAAACAGTTTTCAGTTTGCTGCTATCTGTATAAAGTCTCATAACATTGTGCTTGTGCCACTGCTGCTCTTCCTCGCTATACATGATTGGTTTAGGCCCACTTTACTGGCATTGAAACAAACCGTGCTGAATATGCTTCCTGCAGGGGACATTAGAAAGACAACAAGAGTGTCTAAAGAAGCAAAGGGAGGCGGTGAAATACAGACTGAAGAAACTGGCAGCGCGGCAGTCCGAGATCACAGTGAGTTCGGCTCAGAATAGTCAATGCTGAGATTCTGCTGCAATCCCTGTATGAAAAAAAACCCTGATTTATGGAGAGGAAAAAAAAGATCAGATGGTATAACTGTCATGTTAATGTGTATGCCTGACACAGAAAAAGTCCTCAGAGATAAGGGAGAAAATTATACGGAAATACCAGGAGATCCAGACGGTCCTGGAGGAGGACCTGAGGATTACTTTGTCCCACCTGGAGATGGAGGAGCGGGCTGCTGTCACTGCCTTGGATGGGCTCATGGAGAGGAACTGTTCTCTGATCCAGAAGATAGAGCAGGACTTGGCCAGGCTCACCTTGGCACTGGACCAGACCATCGTGGAGCCCGATACAATGGTAATAAAGTAGAATATGGCTAAACAAACTGAATCGAATTGCAAATTGATTTAATAGAAAAAAAGTCAAATTAACTTTGATTGCCTGCTGTTCCCCAGTCTTTCTTTTCATATCCTGAGCAGGAGGACACAGAGAGTGCGGACAGGTATGGTTAATAATCAGAAGCTTCAGTATAAACCAGTATAGCAACAAGCAATGGTTTTCTTTTTATGTTCTGCCTCCTCCAGAGTGATTCATCTGCTAAACCAGTCAGATCCAAGTAGCGTGAACCTGGATGAGGCCAAAGCTGAGCACCTCCTCAGCCTCACCAACAGTATGCTTCTGCTTATCTGCTCACAGACCCCTCTAATCAAGAAGCTTCTGAAGAGCTGTCAGTCTTCTCGTTCCATCTCCACCTTCAATCACTACAACTTGACCCTTTTGGCATCCATTCCATCTAAAAATGTCAAACATGTGTCCCCAGATTCTAGCGAGGTGCACCTGGATCCAGAAACAGCCCATCCAAAGCTGGTCATCTCTCCCCAAGGTGATAGCGCTGCCTACATCGACACCTGGCAACAACTTCCTGATCAACCCCTACGCTTTGACACCACCCTCAACGTCATCAGCTTGGAAGGCTTCAGCTTTGGTCGCCATTACTGGGAGATCGATGTGACTGGGAAGACTTACTGGGAGCTTGGTATTACATACCCTTCCATTCCGCGTAAAGGGACATCAGAGCACTGTTGGCTGGGTCGGGGAGCTGAGTCCTGGTGTGTGGAATTCTTTGACGGGGAGTACACTGCCTGGCATGGAGGGGTGCCTCACCAACTGGCTTTCACAAAACGCTTCTGCAGGATTGGTGTTTTGTGTAGCTTCCCCGCAGGTTTGGTGACATTTCTCGAGGCTGAAAAGATGACGCCCCTGTTCTCCTTCAGTGCAGGAATATTCTCGGAGTGCCTCCACCTTGCCTTGTGCCCTGGCCATGACCACAATGGAAACAATGCGAAACCAATAATAATATGCAATGCTTCATTTCATAAGAGTGATCTCTGATGGGGGGATCGAGAGGGAAGTTTCAGCAATCACTAAAGTACTACTTTACTCAGAATGTACCAGTTACAAGGTTTCAAAGTTTTGCAATTCGAAGATACTGCATGCATTTATTGATCGACTGAGCTACCAGCCACATTGGGGCCTCTTGGAAGAGTCACTACACAGTGAATGCTCTTGAAAGATTTTTATGGCACATAGTAAGAGCACAAGCGCTGTGTTCCCCAGCTCTACTATGTGCCACCATGGTACGCAAAAAATCTTTTTAAGTAGCTCCGACCTGCTTTTGGAGCCAATGAAACTGATTGAGTGTTAGGTTCGATCCAGTTCAACATCCTACCTTTAAGAAGTGTTCTCTTGTGAAATGGATCTCGAACATGATACAAACATCATTGGAAGGGTTTTTGTCTATCAGACAGTACTTACCATGTTGTGAAAGGCATTAAGCAGGTAACCCAAGTAGAGCGATATTATATCTAGTTTTTAGATTCATGTTTAATGTGGCCTAAAGAATAGCCTCTAAAAATGTTAGTGCGGCAGTAACATGAAACCTAAAAAGAAATGATATTACCAACAGACTGATTATTGTGACCCCCCCCCTTTTTTTGGCAACTGATTTACATTTGAGATGATAGCATTGTAGATTTTAGATTTTAGCTCTCTGAAGTGCTGCAGTGTCCCTCTCCAAGCCGATTACTTAAGAAATAGATTCTAGACCAAACCTCCAAATGAGGATCAGTTAATGAATGTCATCCAAACATGTATTTAGCTTTGAAGTGAAATTACAACATTCCAACTGTTTACAAGTGTGTGTTTAGTTAGTGCTAAGCTTGCTTATACAGTACTTAGCCGATGCCAATTGGAATGATAGAAAAAGATGTCAGGTGACGTGGAAGCACAAAGAGAATAATGTAAAGCATAAAGTAAGGAGCCCTTTCTCCGGTGTCTGTAGATTCTGTGTTTTGAAGTTTAAGTATTTGTGCTAAAAGTTGCATCTTCATATGTGGTATGTGTTATTTAGCGTTCAGTTAGTAATATGAATTGCTTTGTGTTATATAAAGAGATTTTGAATACGGATGGTAATGTGTCCTCAGATGGACCGAGTGTGTGATGGTCCAAAGTCTACATTCTAACAAATAACAAGGTCTTTGCAAACATACTCTCTGAGCTTTTGTGTTGCATGTACGTGTGTGTGTGTACACATGTGTTTTTGTGTGTGCAGCCTTTTATGTTCCAGTGCTTTTACATACTTTCTTTTAAAAAAGAAAGGGTTTTTCAAGTGACACAGACAGTCTACTCTTTTGCAGCATTCAATAATTGTATTTCCTTATTATTTTCAAGTACTTTGAAATAGCTAAGAGTTCAAATCAATAAAATAGACTCAGTAACAGGGATGACTGCCAGAGTAAACAGTGTTTCAAAGGTTATTATCCTTTCACAAATGTGTAGAAAAGTTTAAGGACTCTGCAAAGCTGCGCAGTCACTTTCCTCATCTGGATCTCATCTGATCGGCTGCTGCCATGAACCTGAAGCTGCTCTTTTTTTGCCTTGTCTTTGCGGTGCTCCTTTTACAAGTTGAAGTATGTATTGACAAAAATTAGCCAAATTAGCAAGAACGTGTGTATACATACCTATAACCATTGATAGATAGATAGATAGATAGATAGATAGATAGATAGATAGATAGATAGATAGATAGAT